GGCATCCCCCGCGACAACTACCACCCCGTCACCTAAGATCACACAGTCGCTGTCGCGCGGCCATCAGTCACGGACATCAGCCCTCCTGCCCCAACACCATCGTCGACCACAGCAATTAACTCCGTCAAAACCACGACTTTCGCACTCCGCCACGGATGGGACGGCGTCTTCTGCCATCATCACCAGCACCCTCACCACGAACGATGTGAACTCGGTCCCAATTTGTCCCCATGGCGATCGCACAATCACCTTAAACATCGGTCTGGTCGGTCACATGCAAAGCCAGCGCACATAAACTGGCAAACCAGTTCCTGGAGCACCTACATGCACTTACCGCATCCTCCTCCATTGTCCACATTGCAATCGCACATTCATGCACCGCAGCGGGTCTATTAGGCCGCATGCGCGTCCATGAAAACCTGCGGTAGACAACCGCCGGCTGCGCCACACCATCACATCATCCCTCAGCAGCAGCTCATCGCACATCATCATCATTACCCACCACAAGCCCTCAAATGTCACCTCCTCCGCCAGTGGGAAGTGCGCGTCTTGACTCCGTCTCCATGCGGCTCGAATCTGAGACTATCACGGAACGCTAAGCGCAGTGGCTTGGAAGGTTGCCGACTGATTATTCGACTCAGTTCACGCGGTCTACCCATTTGTGTATGTTTATGTGAGGTGGCGGACTGATGAGCTTAGAGTCAGGCTGAAATGGCCCTTTCTAAACGTGACCTCTGACACTCCCACGCATACGAGGAGTGTGTGTAAATGGATAGTGTCTCTCACTTGCTGGCTGACTGCTTACCTGTTCTTTAAAGGATGATGACCCAGGCTAAATGCAGGACTTCTTGTCACGATTCTGGGCCTTAAGGATTGTAGCGCCTGCTATGCCAGGATCAGCAACCCATGGTCCTCACAGCCTGGTATGCGTTGGCAGTTCGTTGGCACCCGTTTCCCTGCCGGTAGATGCGCTTGCGCTCCTGTTGGGTATACAGACCTTGAGCATGGTCGCCCAGTGACCTGTGTCATCGTCTCCTCTTTCTGGCCCACTTTTTGTTGTTGGCTTAAATCCTGGTCAAGTGTTCGTTGTGGACCAAGGGGTGTGGTGGCACGTCTAGGTGCGTGTACGGCTTGCTAGTCACCTGCGACCTCTCTCGCCTCGGGTCTTTTTAACTATGTTTTGACACCGGGTCCAGGTGGGGAGAGAGAGTACGGCAACTGCTGTACGGGTCTACTACCACCATAAACTAATTCATGAACAAGTAGCCGTGCCTGCTCTCAGTCTGCTGTTGAGCATACGGTGGACGTTGTCGACAACGGCGTCTAAACTGTCGGGGTGCCCCCCTCCCCCCCCGACTCTTGCGTGGAAAACCCCTCTCGCGGCGCCGGACTTGTTCCCTCGTCGGCTGCCAACTTGTCTCAACTTGTTCTTTGATCTTTCAGTGCAGAACATAGCAGTCCGCCGATCAGCGTCCAACTCCTCTTTCTACTAGGGACCGAGCCTGCAGGTCGTAGTGGATAGGGTCTCCCAACGGCTTTAGCTGCTGAGACAGGATCTCTGGCGGAGGGTGCAGGCTTGCAAGATAAACAACGATGATTAAAAAGGAGAGAGCAGATCTGCGACTGCGTGTGCGGAATGTTCAAGGTTTTGCTGTGTTCTGTTTGGGGTGCACTCTGCACCTAACTATCACCAGATTTTCCACAAAAGTGGGCACTGCGTAGTAGCCACATGCAGGACTGACAGACGAAGTCAGATGGTACTCGCAGGTGAGGCTAATTGCATGTCGGTCACTACGTCCAATCTCATTACGAATCAGACGAGGGATGGTGTCCTGACTTTGCACAAGTCTCTCTCCCTATAATTTCAGGCAGAAGTCATTCTGTGCGCTCAGCCCCCTCTAATACCGGACTCCAATGCCGCCCCCATAAATCTTCAAAGAGCGGCGCGCAGTCCAGTACAACATCCAGATCATTTTAGACTGTTTTCGCGATAAACCAAAACAAAGCAGATGCCCGAGATCTTTAGCCGCTGCTTAGCACTCGAGGACGAAGTAATTCGTAATTATACCCTAAAATACTGATAATATCAAGTTAAACGTGTCTGGCAGACGCTAAACGCTGCATGAAGCATCTATCTCAACATTTACCCCTTAGCTCTACCCTCAGAGTGACTTCGGCAACTCTTGTAACATTGAGTGTCAGTCTCATTTTAAATAGCCCAACGATCAAACAATCAGGGAAGAGGACCGTTTTGTTGGCCTGAGAAATGGCCAATTACAGGCTGGACGTGACCGCATCCGGCAAGCCTCATCTCTGCAGACCGCAGCAGGTCAGACCTCCTTATGGAGTGGTCATTCGAAGAAAGAAGGCGGAGTTAAGAGGGCATTCTTTGTCTCTAGAATTGCCACTACGAGGAAACAGTCCACTCTCACTCTTGGGAGCAGCGACCGACTTGTTACAATGCCGATTCCAATCTCTAGTGTCAATTCGTTAACCTCGGTGATGCCTACGACCAGAAAATCATTGATCCGAAAGATATGAAAGGAGAGTACTACAGGGACCTGTACTCCCCATTTTATGTTTTTGTCGAATAAGAACAAAATGTTATTCCGAGTGACCTCAGTGCACATGTCGGCGCAGACCGCGGCACTTGGACGGGAATGCACCGTTGTCACGGGCTAATCAGCCGCAACAGCAAAGGACTTTTACTGCTGAGGATCTTCGAAGAACAAAATCTGCAAATCACCAACACGGCCTTTTGTCTTCCAGACTGCAAAAGACCACGCGAATGTACCCTCGTTCACCTTGAGGGCTGCTGCTATACCAGATGCTCTCCAGGATCCGAGTACGTCCTATCTCAATGAAAAGAGTGATGTGGAATGTTGAAATGATTACTGCCAGTGATCTCTAAGACGGAGCCGTACCCGCAATTGCAGGAGTAGCCTTGGGCTGTACAACTAGGAATGAGCTAAACACTCCGGTACTGAACCACGTCAAGCGCAGGCTAGATTTCATCCGCAGAACGAAGGCCGACCCGAAGCACATGTAGGTCCTGATGGGTGGAAATGTTGAGAACATGTTGAATAACTTGGGATACCACCTAAACCACTGCAACCGAGGTCGTTGAACTTGTAAGTTGGTAACACACGGACTGGTTCAGTGGCAATGCAGAAAGCTACCATCTGGCATCCAAGAAGAAGCAGAACTACAAGGTCTACGCAAGCCGATGCATCACCGCAAATAAGATAGCACTTTCCCGGTGCGAACACTAACTGCAACAGAGGCTGCGGTAGGTGTTAAAGATTGGCCGACTAGAAAAGCAGGTGAGACTAACAATCTCATCGCGGCCACCAGACACCAACTCATCGCAGCCACACTGTTGCTCAGCCCAAAAGGAACCGCCTGCCATAAGAGAAGATACTGACTAGCCCTTCAGATGCGCTCTCAACTGCCCATCCTCCAATTAATAAACTCCCATCTGTGGAAATCAACGCAAAATTGAATTATCCGCCGCATCTGTAGGAATCTATCAGCCCAATGCAGCCCAATCCATGAAAAAACTTATGGATACCTACGCATTTCTAGTAAGCCAACAACCCGCTATCCCTCTACTTTCAGGCAAAAAACCTCGTCGTCCCAGGAAATTTGGCGATAGGGACAAATCGCATGAGACTTCCA